TCGAACGAAACCCTATTCCCTATAATAATTGTTGAATTTTATATTTTATTTTGGAATTTATGTTATTCAAATATATTATATTAAATTTTGTATATATACCGATGATATTTTATAGTCAAAAAGATATATTTTTTAGAAATAATACAGTTAAATTTACTTTCCACCACCATTTTAGCATGGTGCCCTATTATTGTTCCTATCAAAAATATTACAACTGAAATTACATCAAAAGAAATTTTTAAAGCCATCTCGCTATTTGGTAAACTATAGTTATTACAGATAATGGTAATAACTTCACAAGTAATCATTATGAGAAATTTTGCAATGATTATGGTATCAAATATGTACTTGCGTCTGCATACCACCAGCAGAGCCAGGTGGTGAAAACGTTTAAGACCATATGAAAAGAAATATAAAGATTGACTTAGATACTGCACTTGACAATATTCAATTATAGAAACACACAAAATGATACCAAAAGAATGTTCAATCGTGACATTAGAATTAAATGGAATGAAACCTTTAGGAAAAAGATGATAGAGATAACATAACACTATCACATAATAGAACCTTGAGTATAGGAGATTATGTTTGGTATAAAATACAAAGAGTGATAAATGGGGCAAAGGCATGATCACCACAAAGAAAGTGACATGATGTTCTAAGTTAAGACAGATAAAGGTATTATAAGAAGACATTTAGACCAGTTAAGAAAAAAATCATGATACTTACTCTAAAAATTCTTTTAAGGAGAAAAATATCATAAATAAAGATAAACTAATCCTAATTTCTAAACCAATACGAATGAAACAAAAACCTGTTTATTTAAAAGATTATATAACTTAATATATATATATATAATGATTTTTAAGGTATATAATATACTATACACATGCTAGAATAAATTTCCGGTTAGATCTTTGAAATTTTTCCAAATCGTCTTCGCTAAAGGATTTATAACAGAGATTCCGAATCCCCATAGATTTCATATTACAATACCACCACATATATTAAGTACATTATTTTATTTTATTTTCTTTTCATATTTTTTTGTTTATAATAATAATAAATCATTAATCATGCTAAACTGTATAATACTACCAAAGTAATAACAATTAGTAAAGTAAATTTAAAAAAATTAAAAAGATGGAAAATATTTTTATCAAATTTATTACACTGTTTATTTTCTATAAAATTAATTTTTTCTTAAATAAAATTTTAAATGTATAATAAGAAATTCGGCTAAATCTTGTGAAAAAATCTGATGAATTAGAAATGTTTCTAAAATGCAAGGAAAAAATTTAAAACATAGCAAAACTAGTTGCTAGAATACTGGGAATCCAATAAAATAGAAAATCCTATTCTGTATGAATTGGCAAAATCGTATTAGCAACTCCATGTAGCCAAGCAGCGTCTATGAAAGGATTATCACTGAATCCAAACCCTCCCCCCTCAAAATCTATGTCTACCCATCTAAAAATTTCCCGCTGCCTTCGGTGGCGATATTTTTACATTATTAATTTTATGTAGTGTTAATAAAAATTTGAGTGTTGAAAAAGAATGTTCAACACTTTCCTGGAAATATTGTCTACATAAGAGGGGTAAGGGGGGGGGGGCAAGAACAATTTGTATCCAATTTTTTTGAGGCAGTTTGGGGTAGGCGTTTCTAAGTGGGAGTATAAATTTATTGGGGGGTTATTTATTACTGTAAAAACTAATACCTTTATTATAGACCTATTTATAATAAATGATATTGTTAATTACCGACCAAATCTAAATATTGCATAAAATCATAGACATTATTTTCCAAACAAAACTTTCTGCTATACTTTTAAATGTAATTTAAAAAGGCTCATATTCATGTCAACAATATACTACAATAATGCATCATTGTAAAAAATAATTCTTTTATATTCACAAGTTGATAGTTAGTATTAGTAAAAAATTTAAGATATTCTTTTTTAAATTTATGAAGGGAGTATCATAATTAAAAAGATGTAATTATTATAAATGATAAATCATTTAGAAAATAATTATTGCTTCGATGTAATCATTGATTCATTTAATGATTAAATAAAGATTTTAAAAAAAATTTATAGACTTAAAAATATATTTAGATATTTTTATAGGAACGTTCCAGGTGGAACAGAACCGGAACAATATTTTGACCGGAATGGAATGGAACGAGAACTTAAAAATGCCCTTGTTCCATGTTCCTGGTTAAAATCATTATAAACAGATACTCATTAAAATAAAAGTTGCTATTTTGCAAATGGCTACTATATGAATTATGTTTATAACATAATAGAATTGGGCGTTGAGCAGTTTATATTAATATAAGTATACGTCCCCATTAAACTAGAAGAATTATAATGTTCATTTTCTTTATTTTTCCTTATTTCCATATTTTCTACTAAATATTCTCATATTCTTGGAAATTTATTGTATTAAAAAAATTGGATAATGTTTCTACTATTTATAAAACTAATCCCTTTAAATCTCAGCATTTCACAATGTTTTAATTTAAATAATAAAAACCCATGCTTTATTATATTCACTCAAAAGCAATATATAAAAATTTAAAATATTATATGATCTTTATATTAATTTTCTAAAAGTGGGGAAAAATACTTTATACAAAAGTACTGCAGAAAGGTCAACTTATATAGACGCAAAATATTTTTGAAATTTGGCAAAGATACTGATTATTAATACATGGAACTATTCAAATAGAAACCTTGAAAACTGTCCTCAATGTCCAATGTATCTGATCTTCAACTATTTAAAGTCTCCTAAACCTACAAAAATGACCACAAATTCTTGATGCCCTTCCAAATAGTTATTTAAGTTTTTTTTTACTTAGCGATAATGAGCTCAAAGTATCTATCCATCTTCGATTAGACTTTAAACTGGACCGTTGCGTCACATTAACTACAACCTTTAAATGTCTAGATATCTAATTGTTATGTATTAACTTGCAATAAATTGTATTTTGTTTTAGGATACAATTTACTAAATTAGATGGTAAGTGCCTGAATGTACTTCCCTGGAGCGTTACTAGCCTTTACAATCTCATGGGACTCAATTAAATTTTTTTAAAATTATTTTCACAATTATTTTTTTTTAGCGAACTTATCTTTTTTTTTAGTAGTATTTTAAAAAATTCAAAATTTGAGAGGACTTTTCAAATTTTTTTAGAGGGCTCGAGCCGCCCCCTTCTACTGATGCTACTGGTATTTTGATGAATATATAATCACATTATTGTTAAAGTTAAATTATATTTGGTCCTTTTCATTTTGTTAAAATAAAATATATTTTAAGCTTAAAGAGACGTGTTAAATTAAATGGTTAGTTGATAGTTTGAAGAAAATATTCAAGGATATATAATGTTTTCCTACATCTAAAAAATTTTCATTCCTTAAAAAGAGGAAAAATTATAGTAGATTTTTTTCGATCAAATTAAAAAGTATTTGCTTGCAATGTAATTTTAAATCGCCTGTTGATGAACCTTAAAGATATATTTATCTTAGGTGTAGGGCTGCCTGAGTTGGATAAAGAGCTTCAGTCAAAATATACTGAAGGCAATATCACTTTTGAAAATACTGTGAGTTTAGAGATCGCGGCTTTCTTCCTTGGAAAAGGAAACCAAGGTAGAAGTTAAAAGGAAATTATTAATCATAAGCCGACTCAAGGTTCTAAAACACGTATTTTAGGATTAATAGTTATAACAAAGGTAATAAATTCAATAATAATAATAGTTACAATGCCAACAAATAAAATCATTATAATTATCTCCTAATAATTATAAATCTAGTTTTAAACCTAACTTCACACAAAGAAAGTCATATGCTTTGGACGCGGCAAGGAATCATTCAAAACAGATGATTTCACCACGGACACCTGGCTATCATTTCCTAATAAAACTACCATTGATGCGAAGATAAATGGTTTGAGGTTTACAATGGAATTCGATACCGGTGTTGCGTTCAGTATGATATACGAAGTATTGGCAAACCATCACTATCGTCCGCGTATAAACTAGGGGGGTATAACAATATCAAAATCGAAGTGTTGGGTAAATGTACAGTAAAAGTCGAAGTAAAAAACATTTCTAAAATTATATCTATTTGGGTAGTTAAAGGAGAGAATATCCTTATTGAATGCCATTTCTTAGAGAATTCATTATAAAGCTTTCAAAAGAAGTTCAGATAAATAATATAAATATGAATGTTACCAATTTAAATACTATTGCATCAAAATTTGCTCACGTTTTTAAAAAATCCAATAAAGTTATCCGCACCGAAGGTATTACCGATAGCTTTACCAGCAAGAGGAGTTCCATGTCGAATAGTTGAAGCTGAGTTGGACAGACTTTTAGATGAAAGCGATATGGAATAGGTAGAACCAACAAGAACTCCAATCCAATCGAATGGGTTAATCTTAAAGAAATCCGGTGTCTTGCATATAAGCTTTTATTCCTTTTAACAATCAAATATTTAGGGATAGATAACAATTTACTATAAACTTCTTCGACCTGACAAGTATCGCGGGAGGTGAATAATTTTCTATGATAGATTTGAGAGATGCGTTTTTACAATTCAGAGTTAGTTCAGAATGTAGCTAAGGACCTATTAGCAATTTTGCCTTATGTTGGTTATTACCAATATCTAAGAATCCCTTTTGGGTTGACTATCGTTCCGATAACAATTCAACGCTTTGTGCAAAACCTATTAAAGGGAATTCCTATGATTAACGTATTTTTAGACGAATTAATAATTGCAGGCGAGAATAATTTGATCATGGAGCTAATATAAGCAGGGTTGTGCATTTGACCGGTCAAATACAATTCGGTCAATTGACCGATATTTGACCGGTCAAATATGGTCAAATACGGTCAAATTCAAATAAATGTTTTTTACACCAATATTAACTTTATTTTGCATTTATATAAAATTATAATAAATCTATGTATAATAATAAATATCATAATATTTTTTAATTCATTCTATAGTCAATGTTTCACCCTCCGTGGCAGAGTCTTGTTCCGATTCATATTCAATATCATTATTTTCTTTAATATTTTTAATCAATCTTAATTTATGATACACTCTTACTAATTTTCCTGCTGTAGAAGCCTTTAATCTATTTCTGTTTTTCGTGTGAATATTGCCCCAAACCGACCAATTTCTTTCAGAAGAAGAAGTCGAACTAGGAAATGTTAGTAAAATATTAGCGACTTCTCTTAATGGGCAAGGTGGGCAAAATGCATTCCACCAACTTGAGGCCGAAATTTGATTGTTTCCTATGGAAGTTACAACTTTCCACATATTATGGCTATTAAATATACCGCTTTTGCTTCTGAAATTTACTATATTACTCAAAATATTTTGATTATCACCACCTTGTAAAATACCCAATTCTTGTATTATATTACATGCTTCATCAAATTCAGTATTAGTAAGATGCTCCCCTTGATATTGGGGGTCCAATAAATAAGCAGCATTGTGAGCACATGTATTTATATCAGTTTTTCTCTTTTCAAACATAACCTTAATTTTTTTTTCTTGAGATGGAGAAAAAAATATAGAATCATGGCATGATTGTATTATGTGTTTTTCCAAATTAAGCATCTCGTTTTTTACTTGGGCCAAAGTACATTTATCCCCTTGCACTTTCAACAATGAGGTAGCTAAAGGTTGGAGTATAGCTAAAAATTTTAAATTTTTCGTCCAAAATTCTTCGTTTAATATATTATTGGTAATTTCTATGGGACAATTATCACAAACAGCTTCTTCAACAACTGATGCTTTTAGAGCTTTCTTGCATATTTTAATTTGCTCCATACATTTTATTGACGATGCCCATCTTGTTTGGCTAATTGTACTTAATGTAGATGGTATGCCATGAAGATTCTTATTACGGGAAAATACTGCAGCTGGTATGTGTTTATTCTTGAAAAATTTAACAATTTTTTTAATTATTGAAATATGGTCACTGAAGGCGTCCAATCGTTCAAAATCGTGAAAGAATAACTGAATGTATGCGCTGCACAACCATAACATTGTATATGATTATAAATAGATTCAGATTTTAGAATTCTCCAGGCTGTTTCATGTTAGCGGCATTATCAGTAACTAAAGAATATACTTTTACCGGATTCAATTCATGAATTACATTTTTAAATTGCTGGGCAATATAATCTGCCGTATGGCGATTTTCCTCAGTATTTAGAAATTTGTAGAACACTGGAACAGGCGTCATCACCATAAAATTAATAATACTCTCGTTTCTAATGTTGCTCCAGCCATCTGATACAATTGATAAGTAAGGAGCTTTATCTATTATATCTGCAACTCTCACCTCCATATCACCTGACGCTTTGTCTAGAAGATATCCAGCCAGCTGCCTTCTCCTGGGTAATGTGTAAATAGGACGTATTTTTTTAAAAAATTCTTGGATGTAGGGATTTTCAGTGATGTGGAAAGGTAAATTGCTCGCATATACAGCCTTTGCAAACAATTGATCCAGCTCATTTTTTTCTTTGGGATTAATTCTATCTATGAAACGAAGTATTACAAATTACATTTGTGATATTTTTTGTAGAGGTTGATATTTTGGAATTTGAATAAAATTTTTCCTTAATTATAACAGGGCACATAGTACAGTTGCTTAATAAATGTTTGACCATTCTATCAACGTGGGTGATATAGGACATCTTGCAAAACTTGCACACCGCTTTAACTGATTTACCATCGCGTACTTCTTGAAAATGTTTCCAAACATGATGCTTTGGTTTGACCATAATCCCTAATATATTAAAATTTAACAAAAAATGATTTTGATTATTGTAAAGTTAATCAATCTTAACTATTTTATAATTATCGACCAATTATTCCAATAATTTCTTAATATTATAAATATAATATAATAAACTTTTTACCAGAATTGAATAATATTCCGTAAATCTGACCAGAACAATTAAAATGAAAATTAATTTTAAAAACCAAATATAGCAAGTGTAAGTAAAACAAATGAGAATTAATATAATTTATACTCGGCTAAATATTAAATAAAATTTAAATTTATTAAAAAATAAGAATGAAAAAATTATATTATGATTATAATAAATCGGGTATTTTTATTTTTTTTTAAGAAAAATGAATTGAAAAAAATAAAGAAGGCGAGAAACGGCAATGATTAGGCAAAAAAATAACTAAAAATATTACTATATTTAGAAAAATTACATATTTATATTTTAATAAAAAAATAATAAGATTGATAAACATGCTTTTAATGCATACTAGTTAATTATATCAAAATATTTATTCGCCATTAATATTTTAGAGTATTTGACCGTATTTGACCAGTCAAATACTCCTCCGGTCAATTGACCGACATGCCAACCCTGAATATAAGTATTAAGAAGATTTGATAAGGCTGGACTGACAACGACGACCGATATTAAAATTGGAGAAAATTTAGTTACTTATTTGGGTCATATGACGAATTCGGAATATTGAAAAAAATTTATAAAACACTGTCAAATGCAAAGAAATTACACTCGTTTTTTGTATGGTTAAATTTACATTCTATTTGTTCGCTAATTGATAAAATTATTGGTATATTGATAATTTAATAATTCAATTATTTTAATTAAAGATAATCTTTCTTTATTATTATTTTATAATGATAGGATTCCCTGATAATCTAAAAAGGTGGTTTTAATATTATTCATCAAGAACATACGATAGTGGAGATGTAATTATTATGGTGATTATATGTTTTTTGGGCAAATCTTGATTGTGATGTTAAAGGTTTCGTTGCGTCAAGAGTTGCCAAAAAGGATGATCGGAAACATTTTGAACATTTTTACCCGACCTTGGGAACAAATACAGATAGATTCGACAGGCCCCATATTTACAAAGTATTATTTAATTTGGTAGACGCCTTCACCATGGGTCGAAGTCGTAATTTTAACACATATTAATTAGGCGAGTGTAATGAATAATCTGTGTAATTATTTTGCTTGATTTGGGTTAACTCGCTACATTGTTTCAGATAAGTATTCAGTTTACTGGATTTAAATTCAAAACATTTCCTTTTAAAAACAACATAACAGTTTAGATCGGCCCCTTATAGCCCCCAAATCGACTATATACGTACGATAAAGGCACGTTTCTATGCTGGAAGAAGATGTGAGACTCCGGACTAGTTAAATTTAGCGATTGTTTTAATTACTCGCAGAAATGCTTTAAATTCAACTATCGCTAAATCCCTTACCGAAATGATATTAAAAAAGCGGCTCAGGATGACGTTAGATTAACAGACTATCCACTAGAGAAGGATGGAAAATGCATTATGGAAACAAAAATATTATAAAGATAGGAATGTTGAGCCCTAAGAGTTTGAGGATAAGGAAAAGGTTTGGGTAAAAAACGATAGGACTGCGGGATGGCATGGGACGGTGGTTCAATGGAAAATGCTATGATGTTGACCCTGTGGGTATTGTAAAAAACAAGCATTTTGACCAACTGAGGGATGCTCAATTAAAAATATTTTATTTTTTTGACTCATTTTGTGTAAACTAACTTATATAAATATAAAACGAAAAAGAGTTCTATTCTCAGTTTAGTCATTTTTTTTTTAGATTTTTGAATTTTAAAAAATATATAATTTTTTTGACCTATAAAATAAATGCAATAATTTATAATTGTTATTGAATCTGTTATTTCAATTAAATAAATATTAAATAAAGATATGATAATATGATGGAAACTTCAAATTTTTTTCGTCTTATATTTATATAAGTTATTTTACAAATCAGTCAAAAAAATAAAAAAAATTTTACGTCCTAAAATATTCTAAAAAATGACTTAACTGAGAATGGACAATCATAACTCCAAAAATAAGGATGGATACTTAATATTTTTTTCATTTTCGCTTATATAAGCTAGTTTTCGCAAAATAAGTAAAAAAAATTAAGTATTTTTACCTCAAAAAATCTTTAAAAAAATGACTCGACTTATAAAATATGATGTAAACTTAATTTTTTTTCATTTTATTTTTATATAAGTTAGTTTACACAAAATGAGTCAAAAAAAAAATTTTTAAATCCCAAAAATCTAAAAAAAAAATGGCTAAACTGAGGAGAATTTACATCATAAATCCAAAAATAATGATGTAACTTCAAATTTTTTTATTTTATGTTCATATAAGTTTGTACCAAATAAATTAATCTAGAGCGTATGTACCTATAATTTATATTATTTTTAATTAAAAACTAAATTTTTAATCTATTACGTCATCTAACGGAAATTTTTTTATGATTAAAAAAATTATTATGGGTGTTAATTTTTATAATAATATATCTTTTCTATTTATGGACTATTCTTTCTTCCATATGCTATTTTATTTATTTAGATAATTTTATTTTGGATAAATTTGATTTATAAAAAAACATATTATCTATATTTTTAAAATATAATTGATAGATAAAAAATAAAAATAAATTTTCCCTGTCAATTCTCAGTTTACCAGTCAATTCTCAGTTTAGTAACACTGAAATTTTTTTTTAAATGCATCAATATGTTGCTATATCAAATCGTAATATAGTTGCATTTTATAAACTTAATAAGAACCAGAATAAAAAATTCAAAGCATATGTTTGCATAACACTTATACAAAATTATCAATTTATACATAAGTATTTTCCTTTTTGTTTCGGTATAAAACATTTTATTGTAGAATAGCATCTTTTGAGAATGATATTATAAGTTTAGAATGGAACAATGATGGTTATAAATTATTGATTTTAGAGACATATATAGGTGTGCCTTCAGATAATATATTTAAATTATCAATATGGCAACCTAGACATCCAAATTATATTCTAAATGATTGGTGTTGCACTCATATTTTAAAGGAGAGTTTACCATATTCTAATATCAATCCAGATCTTCATCAAGATTTACATAAATATGAACCAACTTCCTGTATATTTACTAAATGGTTTAATTTTACTCATCAGAAAGTTATAATAGATTTAATTTTGGCATTTATTATTAGAAATTTAGATTATTTGTGATACAGCTAATTATGGAATAAGTAAATATGATCAAAAGTTTGTATCTTATGATTATGCCCCTACTATTGATTTTTATGATACCTATATCGATGGATTTATTTTTATAACATCCAATGGAACAGTAAATAAACTATAGTTTAATTAAAGATCAGCAGGGGCAGACTAGCAAAGCTATGACCTCATGGGCAAATTTGGTTTTCTTTTACCCAGCCTTCAGCCAGTACACCTTTAATAGCGTATTCATATTTTATATGTTTTCACTTTTTCTTTTATATTTTGACAAAAACATATCAAAATAAGTTAAAAACAAAGGATATCACATATTTTTTAAGAATTGTTATATTAAATCATGCCAATTGCACATAAAAACATACTTATCACAATATACATATAGAATAATATGAATTGCACATATAAAATTATTACATATTGCACTATAAAATTTAAATTATACATTACATCATATTGCATCGAGAATAAGCATTATTGTTCATATAAAATCAGGGATATTGCAAATATAATTTCCTAAATAGAGTTTAAATAAATGAATATTATAATCTCTTTCAGGCATCAATAACATTGCCTCCAATTAAATAACATCCCATATTTTCCCTAAGCATAATTATATAATTTTAAATTTAGCAATTTACTAATATGCTGTAAAAAATAGATTAGTGCAGGTTGGGCAAAAAGTTATAAATAGTGTTATGTTACATAACATATCTCCAATTTTAAAAATATAAAGAACTTCCATAGCCCTTATATTAGATTGTTAACTTAAAGTAAAGTTTATTTCTCCTTACTTTTAAAACATTTATTTACAATTATTTTTTTTATAAAAATATATTAAATGTTAAAATGGAATGTCTGATTGTATTGGCAACAAAAAACAAGGGAATCTAATACAACTGCAATAGGATTTCTTTTTTTTGTGGGATTTAATTGTTTTTTATTTTCTTAAACAATGTCAATCATAAAAAGTTTTAGCATGGGAAGACGATGATAGTATTTTGAGTAAAACGAATTTGTATGATAGATTGTAAAAACACATTATTTAAAGTTCCATATAAAGATTATCACTTTTTTTATTTCATACATTATATTAATTTACAAGATAAAACCAATAAAATGTTTTTTTTATTTCCTCAGTTGTAGTCTGCAAAGATAAATTGAAAGAATCTTATTTCTCGATCCATCAGTTGAAATTAATGATCATAAATATCCAATAATTTTAATATTTATTTATTGCAATACATATTTACCCATTCCATATAGCTCTTGATTTGTAAATTTGATTAAAGGACCAAACAGGAGATGAAAATGATGTTTTATTTGAAAATTGGTCATTTATTCAATATTTTAAAATGATAATCTTTGATTTTTATTAAATTAGTTTTGGTTTCATATTATACTGCTTTTTATTTTAGACTACAAAAAAATGAATCAATAAAAATTTTTATTGCATTTTTTTTATTTTCCTTTTTTCTTATTTTTAATCATGTAACTAAAAGCTTATTTGTAACTGTTACATGTTCTAAATAAAGGTAACATAACAATTACCTTTTTTTTAAGTGACGATGATAACCTAGCCATTATATTTCATAATGGTAATCATCGACCTCTATTAAGTAACATGCCCATGTGTATATTATGGTATCAAATAATCTCATAGACACATTAAGAATTGATTACACTTGGTTGGATTTATTAATATCTTGTATTATTTCAACGTTTATTAAATCCACACAATCACACTTTTAAATCTTTGTAAATACGGGCAAATGTAGACAATTCCTGTCGTTATTTGTCACTGAATACATTTTCTAATTGTGAAACTTTTTTCAACAATTTTTAGAAGTACCTTAGATATTTATTTTATCATAATTTTTTGGATACAAATATTGCACATTAGGTATAAGCTCTTTATAAATCAACTTTCGGGATTTATAATTTGATCAATTGCTTTAAAAATATGAAGATTACTCGACTTCGGACGTTCATCTTTCATCGTACATCCTCCTTGTTTATTCTAGTTTTTAAAATTTCATTTTATATCCAGACGTTATCTGGCAGCTTTAGATCAGAATTTCAAAATTTGTAGCCATTTTTATGGTATTAATTTGAATGGAGGTGAATGTCATAAAAGATACAGAGGATTTGTCATCTTCGTTCATTTTCCAAGCTGATCAATCTTCTAATTTTTAGTTTAAAGATATAATGAGAGCCGCCCCATTATTTCAAAAAAATCAAAGCAGATTAACGTTTTAAATTTGTACTTCAATCAGCGATTTAGCTATTGATAAGGTAGGTTTTTGCCTTTAGCTATGTACTATATATTTGGAAACTAAATTGTTTGCTCCCTATCTCCCTTTTTTTATAATAAATTCCTAATTGGAAATTCCCATGATTTAGATTCTCAGATATTTGTTTTATTACGTGGATATTATTGCCAATCTCTAGATTCTTTCATTCATTATTTTAAAGGTAATTGAGCCATTTCTATTAATAAACTATAAAATAATATGTAAAAATATAAATTAATCAAAACTTGACCTTCATTTAAACGACGCTTTTTATTAGAAAATGAAAAAACCCCCATATAATAGCATCTAAATGGTAAATCCTCAAGAAATGTATTGATATAATATTCTAAATGCTAAAAGAATAAATATGATCACTTTTAATTTATGAATATAATAAGAAAGTCATAACTTATTTGATAAAATGAAGTAATATATTACTTTTTTCTGGTCGGCCTCTTTTTTTTCAATTTTTTTAATGATCGGCCTCAAAAATAGACATTTTCTCGCGGCCTCATGAGCAAAATGCTCAGTTGGTCTTATGACCAGTCCGCTCCTGGCTTATAGTGCTTATAATTCCATCAGAAAATTTTAATATTTAATAAATGTTTAAATTATAATATTTAAATATTATTTAGTATAAATACACATTTAGATTTCAACTTTTTTTAAAAAAAATATCTATTTTCTTCCAAGGCCCCAAAATTCTTTCCTAAAGGCCCTTAAATATTTAAAATCTCGAGATCCCTCGGGACATTTTCCCACCAGGCTTACTGGCCAGTGCGTCCCTGAAGATCTGTAACATTAATTTGAAACTAGTTCTCATATATATATGATTAAATACATTTTTGCAGATAAATATTTGTATAATTGAACCATCAATAAATGAATCAAATTTATCTAAAAATTTTGCTACTAATGATTGCCATCAAGAAGAGGACAATGAAAAGATAATTCAAGTAACCTACAACAATGCAAGCAATTCCCAAACAACCCAACAATATTATACTTTGTTTAAAATAATTTTCAAAGATTACCAAAATTCTTATGATATAGCAGATATATCTTTTAACCAAGGTTTGCTCACACACGCTGTGATAATATAACAGGATTTTCATAAGAATAAAAAATAATAATCTTTTTAAAATAATTGTTTAGAGCCTTTAAATATTGTATTAGTAATTTAAATTATCTTTGATTTTATTTTATATGTAGATGGATCATTTAGAGTAGCATTGTCATCCAAACACATCAATTCACCTGTTATATTTTATGACATACGGATTTCCAAAAAATTTAGTAAATTTGAATTTTCTTTGTTTATTAATATATAATAATAACAAACCTTTGCTATAAACTAACTTTGATGAAAGTAATGCCATTACTAATGTTGTAACTTTTTTTGAAGAAAAGGAACGCCATTCGTTACTTGTTTTTAAACTTAATGACTAGAGGTCTGCAATGGGTGGGTTTTTAGCAATAGCCTGCCCACACAATGTTTTAAAAAATTTAACCTGCTTATCCAACCCATCCATAGTTTTAAAAAATATATGTTTGCCCACCCATTAATCTAAAATTCTATGTCTGCTCATCCTCCTGAATATTAGTCTAAAAAATTTTACCCACCTATCTGTTTGTTGCGTCATCCAATAAATAGTCGGTGGGTGGGGGTATGAAGCTTGGGATCATAAAGTTGTTTAAATAAAGCTAGAAGAGTAAGTGGAACGAGGTCCAAACCACCTTTTTTTATTTCTTTACTTTCGTAACACGTTATTATACAACACTATTTATTATAGATAATTGGGATCATAAGGTCAAAAGGATCAATGGATTTTTCCCGTTCCTACATTCTCTCAATGCCGCAAAGTCAACTAATAATGCTAAAAGTTTTATTTTTTTTTCACACTAATTTTATTTGATTAATTATCATAATAATAAATCATTTATCACACACAAATGTTGTGTTAATTTATCATTCATGAATTCAAAGAAAGAAAGGAAGAAATAAAAATAGAAAGATTAAAAAAAAGAAAATTTTACTTGTACATTTGGGTTTTGCTCTCAGAAATCTATAAAATTTCTACAATATTTTTCGCATTTCGATACCGCCTTATTCGGTCATATTTAACCCTGCATTTATAATAAACGATATTTGCCCAAAAGATTCATAGTAAAAGCTGTATGATTTACAAAAACAAGCTCCAATACAAAACGAAATGGTTAAATCTCGACAGCTGTTTACATATATATATTCAAAAAAATATAGCACCGCCGAATTAGCTTCGATATCGCTAGAAATTAATTTCGCATCGCTTGAGCAGATCGCGCTTACTATAAATGCAGCTTACAGCAAAACACTAATAAATAATGTATTATATCCTTTTCCCTGAAATCTACAGATTTTAAAAGTCGCCTAATATTTTTGCAAAACGAGCGAATCAAGTCTGATTACATCATGGTCCTAGCCAATTCACAAAGTAAAACTTATAAAAAAATAAGAAGAAACGATCGAAAAAGGGAAAGAGAAGAAAGAAAGAATTCGGGCTGCGCCGATCCACTATTATTTTTACCGATCTGATCCTATATTTAAATGATCCGAAATTTAGGATTCTGATATTTATTGTTTAATATCTTCTTTTAGTTTTTATATTAATCTCATTTGTTTTTAAAAACAATTAGAATTTATTTTAAAATGGCTGTTCCTTTTCACTTTATCTACAAATTATTATGCAAAATCAGAATTTACGATGATCTTCAAATAAATTTCTAAAACTAAAAAGAACGTAAGAATATATAGGTAAATAAAATTATCAAAGTCATATGGTGACTAATGTTGTTAAACGGCTCGTTTTGAGCCGATTTTTAAAAACGGCTAACTCAATATTTTCGCCATAAAAATATTGACTAAGCCTCGAAATTTTGATACTATATGTATAGACCTTTGCTCCTTCTATGATCAGGCTTGCATATTATTTTTCTGGATAAAACACTGAGTTAGCCGTTTTTAAAAATCGGCTCAAAACGAGCCAGTTAACAACACTAGGTGACTTAGAGTTGATTTTAGGTAATAAAAATGTAATTAGTTAATAAAGTTTAATGAATATACGATTTCGATATATATATATATATTAGCGCCAACGTGCTTTTACAACTTTAAATCATTTTTTCAATGCGTTTTTTAAATTTAAAATTTGATTTTACCGGAAATGTATTTCAGCATGTTTGGAATACTTATCTTATGAATTGTAGACAATTTTATCGTTAACCTTTGAGTCATTTATAATTTCTATAAAAAATCTATGCAAAAACCAATATTAATGATATTAAATTCAAAGGTTAATGGCAAAATTGTCTGAAATTCTTAAGGTAGGTGTTCTAATCATGCTAGAATACATTTTCAGTAATATCGGATCATTAAATTTAAAAAAAAACGCGCTCAAAATATTATCTAAAGATGTAAAAAAATAACACGTTGCCACTAACATATATGGTAGTCATTCATAAATTATAATTTGCAATCATTCATTTAATAAAACAAATTTATTATATAATATTTCAAACTTAATAAAAATATTTCATAATCTTATTAATGTAAAATCAGTTATAATAATAAAGCATCCGATTTTAACATGACAATAAATAACAAAAGATAATTTATAATTTAAAAAAAAAACAAGGAACACCAGACTAAAAAAAATTATTGTAATGGAACGCCATGTTGGTAAATCCTTCATCTTCTTGATTTCTATTTAACATATATTTAAAAAAAAGGATATACACAATGGGGTTCAAAATATTTTTTTAGCAATTGACTAATTACCGACACCTTGCGTCTGTAACAATGGCCAAAAAAAACAACATAAACATTTATAAATAAAACAAAAGAAACAATATAATCGTGCTAAATATCGGAAAAAAATATGGCAATCATCGGCCGTAATTCGACCCTTAATATAACTGCAACTATATAGAAAGAATAGATAAAAGCAAAATTTATATGAGAGAGATATTAAATTCTTGGTATTTTTTTCTTCTTTTAAAAAAAGAAAGAATTATGTTTCTTATCTCTTTGGGTTAGATAATAGCGTGATAGAGATTTGGAAATGCTCCGATAGCCTAAGGAACGTGCACAAAGGATTTCCAACAGACAAAAAGTTAAACCCGCGAAAAATATCGGTTAATTACAAAAAAAAATTGTTTATTGTTACAATATAAACCCTTATTTATAATACTGATAACATGCTTTTTGTTTCATTTTTTTTTTAAAAAAAAGTCATGGGAATTACTAAGCATATACAAACCGGAAATGGATAATATAAAATTGGCTTCTCCCCTTTTAGTCATATCCACTCGCGTTACCGATACGGATAAAGCCAGGGAAATTTCACTGAACATAACAGTTTTAATTTGCGTTGTCAAATCGGAAAAAAATTCTACAAGGACTAATATTTCAACTAACAATGAATGTGAAGAAGTGAACACGCTTTTGAATAGTTCGGTTAAGGCAGATTACGAGCTCAGAGTACTAGAATGGAAGTGTTTGTCAGGATCCAGCGATATTAATTTGAATAATAATACCAATAGTAATCTAACCTACTTTGCCTCTTCTAAAAATTCTTTGGAAGTAAATTCTAGCTCCGCCGGGGGTCCTAACAAGAAAAATGGTGTCAGTTTTACTGTGATCAAATCTCAAGAATTATTTTGCACAAATTCAGGTGTTGCATATTTATTTGTTATAGAATAGATAGTGTACTAGATTTGTTGTTTTTTAATACTTTTTTTTTGCTTTTAAGCTATGTCCAAAATCTTTTTTAAAAATTTGAAATTTCGCGAATTTTGAAATTTTAATGAAATCCGTATGTTAAATTTTTGAAATTTTAACATGTTCTATAATTATGTTTTGAACTTGTTTTAATTTTTATATTTAAAATAGCTTATTTATTTATTTTCATAGTTTCCTAAATTTATGATTTTAATTTTTTTGATATTTTAAACACAGTCTTATAAGACTCTTTTTTTAAAATTTGCATACGAAATTAATCATTCTTTTTAAATAATATTTTTGATTATTACTTAATATAAAAGGAAATGGAGTTAATGAATATAAAAAGTTAAAATTGGATTTAAATGAAAATTCAATCGATATTACTACGAACACTTTGGATGAAATCAAAACTGACAATCACAACATTGGATTATGCTTAAGTCCTCATAAATCTTTGATTGTTTTATCTGCTCCATACACAGCTCTCTCATTTATACCTCATGGCACCTTGCGATCAGACACCATTTTAATTCGGGATATCTTAGATTTGCAAAAGGCTTCAAGTTTGCAAATTATAGTGCATATTTTATATTTATAGGAAATATAGTTGGGTAGTGGCTTAATGTCGGCTAATTCGGGTCAATCTTCAGGTGCCTGCCGGGAAAAATCCGTTAAGAATAAGGTGTTTTAATTTTGAGCTGAGCTGCTATCTTTTTATGAAAAACCCCGAGGTCAAAATGATAATGGCCAAAAATATAGTAATTACCCAACTATATTAGGAATAAAAAAATGGAATATTAAAATATTCAACTGTTACACCCCATTATACGATTAAAAATGATTATTATAACAATGTTGCTACCTATTTAGGTTATTTGTCAATAACGTATTAAATCATTTCCAGATATTGCAGAAAGTTTAAGTAATCATATCAAATGAAATGAAATGCAAGGTTTCCTAGTGTCTTTTGATGTTATAAGAATAACTAAGGCATGGTATCATGCTATAACGGTTAGCATTAGAGGTCTGCAATGCCCGGTATCTGGTTAACGGGCCGAGCCGGTAAGCGTCTGAATTTTTTTTGGGCCAAGTTAAAAATTACTAGGATGGATTTATTGGAATTTTAATATGGATAGAAGGGATAATCCATAAAATGTGCTGTTTTTAATTTAACCATTTCCTTAATATTATAAATAGTGGTTTATTTTCATGTTCACATATATTTCGGGTTAGGTCTTGTATTTTAAAAAAAGAGGGTCAGACCATGTATAACCGGGCTACGCCTGAAAATTTTTTCATTTGCAGATATCTGGTTAGCATAGTTGACACCAATTCAAAAACTCATTGTTATAACCTGCCAAGTAATTTCCTCTACCACTAGATTTCGAAAATCATAATGCATTCATAAAAATAAATCAATGTCCTAATTTAAAATACTAACCGACATCATTGAATATTGATTTTCATCAAACGAGGGACTGAATTGAGAACTGACTTACTTATTGGAATAATTCTCAAAATAATAATGGAAGCTTACCTATAGTAGTTGATGATTCACTTTCTATTTCTAGAGTATTTTTTTATAAAATGAGTATGAAAAGGTTACAATTTAAACTAGGAACTTCGATTCTTGAAATGTTGATATAGGAATCTTTATTACCAGTATACACTTTCTGGCTTGATATTGACTCTAGCATGTATAAATAAATTGTTATTTATGTTATTCCTTGTTGATAGTAAATATAAAATATTTGCTGTTCTAACATGGTATAACCCACCTGTATTCTAATATACCACCACTTATTTAATATCATATTCTTGCGTTGTTTTAGGTTTTTATGAATATTTATGTTTTGACATAATACATTTATTTCCCTCTAGACCTGGAAAAAATGAGTCCAAAACCTAATTTTAATTAAATTGGTGTGAGTAATATATCTATGATTAATTGTATTTTTTAATACGTTTTTCAAAATAGTCTATTAGTAAATTTGCTTCAACCAATATATATGGAATGGATCATTATCATGTGTAATGCCTACTATTTTATTATAAATTTCAAAAGCCTCTAATTATAATATTATGAGATGATATAACATATTTTCTTTTGTATATGTATGAGGAAATTCCAAAATATCCAGTAAAAAAATTTTTTAATTAACAATTTTTTATCAATAAAATGAATAGAATTATGTCATCGAATTCAATCCCGTCTACATGTCAATCGTTATAAATAATTCACTCCATCATTAATATTTATTATTTTTTTAGCATGCATAGTTTGGAAGTATTTGGCAGCACTTTGCTTGCACCATCACGTTTTCATTTGAATATATTTGAAATGTCTTCAAAAGACTTGCAATTTAAAGTATGAAATGAGAAATTATATTTGAATAACACATGCATATTAAACGTTTCTGTCAATGTATAGTTGAAAGCTATAATATAATGCCTTTTATATTATTTCGTTTTAAGATTTTTTAAAAACAAGTTTTTATATTCTTATACACCTAAGGTGATACGTACTTTGGTTTTCATATAATTTTGACTGATAATGTGGCTATGGAGGAGTGAAAGTTTATTATCTCAAACGATTTATAGTCCCATTTAAATACTGAAATTGTAACATTTCAACATCTTTTTTGAGGGGTTGATTAAAATTGGTGCTTAATATCTCCATAAGCACCAATCAAAAATGAACTAATTTTGAGTACCCGTTGTTTAGCCTATTTAAAGATTCGAAACTAGATCATTTTAAAGTAATAACGTGTTTTAAAGAAGGTATGACACGAATGTTCTCAAGAGTTAATTTGAGAACTTAGTAAGGAAATAGATTTTGAATAAGATTTTATCATTCAATAGTGATTACAATTGAAGAATCACTATCAGAGTATATTTTAGAATAATATTATTAGTTTCACAATTACTTAGAATTTTTACAAAACGATATATTAATATTTTACTAAAATTATTTACACTTATTAAATGAAATTATATAGTATATACTATCAAATTATGACTTAATAATCTCATGGATTTGTGTAATATTCATAGATCTGCATGCACGGCCTGAATATATCGGCTGGGTCATTATAAAAATTTATACCCGTGATGGGCCGAAAAATATAAAACTTTAGCCGGGCCAATTCCGGGCCATCCAATTGGTACCTCTCTAAGTCGCTGGTAATAGTAAAATTATATTATATAAACATACAGAAAAATAGAGAAATCTTTCTTTCTTTCTAATAAATATTTTTTTATAAAATCCCCAATTCCACGAAAAAAGGATTCCAGGTCATCCAATGCTTGCTTGAAATGACGCTACTCGACAAGTTAGGTCCCGATGACGTATTTCACTCTATTTTAGATACCGAACATAGTCAAAGTTTGGGTGTTTACGAATATGTATGGAAATTTATATTGGCATTAGCGCAAGGTTTTGTTAACCACCAATCCCCGATCGTTCAAAATGCCCTGCGATATAGGCTGATAAGACTCATCTTTAATTTGAACAAGTTCACATCTCATTTAATATGATAGTATATTACTACTTGTCTTATATATAGGACAACATTTTGCAGTGCATTTATTGGAAGTAGGGGGCGGGTTTAAAATTTTTAGCTGTGCTTAATTGGCCCCAGTCCCAGGTTATCATTTTTAGGATCCATATTTTTTAATTTTATTTGCTGAAAGATTTGATTTTAATCTAAATCTTATTCTAGTCTGTACAGAGTTCCGACTCTGCAAATTTTCAAACATATTTAGTGCGAATCTTTTCGATATCTTTGATCCATATTAAAATTAATATAAATTGGTAGCATTTTTAAAAGTTCACGCCTGTTATCTGAAATTCTTAGGCGTAGATACCCTTATACATTCCTGAATACTGTTACGAAAAAATTAAATCTTTGAAAATTAAACGCGCGCGTTCGATATAATATACATGTTAGCCAAAGTTATGAAATATGATATAGCAAGAAAGATTTATAAGGGGATTTGGATTAGAGGTCTGACCTCGCCCATTCACTGGACGGGTGGCGAACAGGTAAGGAAATTTTTTTAAGAACATATTACTATTAAAAATTATTATTTTTTTATTTCTTAATATTGCATATAAGTTTAATTAAAAATACATTAAAATAATTAAATAAAGAGTCAAGTCAGCCGTTAATATAATTTTTAAACATTGGGCGGGCGGGTTGAACAAAATTTTTAAATTAATGAGCGGTGGGTGGATTTTAATAATGAGTGGACGGGCTTGTTTGCTAAGACCACATATTAGTTAATATAGACCTCAAGGATTAAAAAAAACCTTTTTAAAATAATCGCCATTTGCAAAGAAACAACCTCTATTTTAATAAGTCTATGTTTATAATTATATTATGGTTAAATATTTCATGTATATATTAAAAAAAAATTTATACTTTTGCAATTATAAAATTTTTTAGTAATATATAATATAAAAATAATTAACTATTGTTTTAAAATTCATATATAAATAAATGTAAAAATTAAATATATATTAAACAATTTTTATGATAATAATAATATAAAAGAAAATTAGGTAACAATCTTTCTTTCTTATCCAAGATAGAACATTTTTTTTATGTAACAAAAATAGCCATTTAAAATAGAATATGAATATATATTTTATAATAAAAAATGATATAAATTAAAAATTCATATAAAAAAAATTTTGATTTTTTTTTAGTAGAAAAGATAAATTACAAAATAAAGAAAAATTAAAAATAACCGCATATAATTCATGAAAACAAAAAAGTTTATAAAAAAGACAGGAAAATATGTTTTATTTGTTGAAAAAAAATTATTAGCCAAGGATTATGCTAATGGAAAAATCCCTCATTTGCCTTATTGCAAATGACCGCCAAATGAATTGTTTTTTTTAACATTATACAAATGGGCGTTGAGCATTTTATATTAATATAGGTTTATGGCTTAAACCCCCCACCCCTATTGCAGACCTTTAATCCTATTTTTTTAAAAAAATTGTTGTTAGAAACGATGTGCACTAGTATCTTCCATATTTCAATTTTATTCATTAAATTGGTTAAGTATTGATTAAAGTAAATAATGCCATTTTTAATAGTTAAGTATTTTTATTGATATTATCAATCGATTTTTAACTAATAAATATAATTGCTAAATATCATATATATTTGGCTAAATTTTATATTATCTCCTTTATATAATTCTAACCAGTTTCCTCGGCAACCATATTCGTGACAACAAGACCTGCTATGCAATTGGTCCTAAAGATAACTCCTTAAAACACTATTCTTCCCTTCTCTCTTCCAAATGCAAAGATGTTCTGCAATTACTTGAAATGAAAGATATTTTATGCTTGGGCCTTAGTCAAACCTACAAATGTATTTCATATTCAACTATTTTAGGTTAAAATTTTTTTATTCTTAAATCGATGCGAGTAATTTGACTATGGCCTTTGACCTGACAAATTAAAAATTCGTTCTTTATAGTTACCCAATACCACCTCATTAACTTGACTTTTCGAACTTGGGCACGTAGAATTAATATCATACCATCAATGTTGAAATTTTATTTTTTTCCTTTTCATATTCATGTATAGTGTTGTTAAACGACTAAATTTAGTCCACTAACACACCACTCAAATCGATTTGGTCGAAAAATTGACTACTCTGAACGACCAAATTAGTCATTTTAGTCGACTAATTTGGTCGTGTTATTCAAAACATTTAGTCGTGGTTTATAAGAGAATCGATTACTGACTCATTCATACATACATCTACATAAATTTATATCAATGATCACTAGGAGAAGGATATTTTTAATTTACTGCTTCAATTTTTTAACCCTTCATTGGAGTTTTTGGTTACATTTTGTAAACTACCTTTTGAGATAATTGATGTCGAAGGTTCCAGATCAACTAAAACTGTGACAAAGTGGAGATAATATATATACCATATTAACCTTTTAACAGCATTAATAATAATAAAAATTTTATAAGGGACCATATTTTATTTTCCAATTTTTTTGATAGGATGACGTAATTAAAAATATAATAATGTCGATTAGGTATTATAGTCCCCTCTAACAATAAATGCGATATACTTATATATTAGAATTTCGAATTTTCGATCTCTTTTGGTAACCATTGTTTCGAATTACGGGTTTCTAAAAACAGTTTACTATATGTCTACATTAAATTGTTAATGATTTCCTTCCATTTGTGCGAATTTATACTTTTAACATCAATCATCTCAAAATGTAAAACTCGTTGAGACGGAGAGAATATAACTATAATTGTTCTACAATACACGCAAATGTTATATAAAGGTATTTTATAAGGACCCCTCTATTTTTGGTCCGAGAATATAAAACCACGGAAATTGAATTTCGAGTTACGTCTGTAAATGGATTCCTCTGCATCTCATTAATAATTTTATTTTATCTTCATTCCTTTATACAAAATAATATATTTTTATCAAGATTTCGTACAACATGGCACTCCCCATTTAAGTGATATTTCGTCTACTCGCCACCACATTTCCAGTCGCTTTCTGGGGATTTTATCAAAAACGATTTCGAGAGTTTTCGATGTTTCGTCGCGAATTTTATTGCCCTTCGCCGTATTAGGCTTGCGAGATAACTTTATGAATGAAGGATTGATTAAGGAAAAGGAAAAAAAGGTTATTTAAAAAAACCCAATTAAAACGAGTGAGCGCAAATGGAAAATATTTATTAAAAATCGAAAGAAAGGAAGATAGAGAAAAGTAAAGATGAAAATTTGAGGGGCGGAAATGGATCTATTTATCACTTTTATGTATCATTAATGATATTAAAAATAAAATCAACAAAAGAATATCCTAAATTTCGTCGATTGCTATACACAAGATAATTATTCCCGACTCATAGACATTTTCGCTAAAATGGGAGAAATAGGAGATTCGAGAGATCCATTTGCCTCCTTATTTAATCCTAATCATTCTTCGTTCGGCAACATAAACACGCAAACTATTATAACCACCTGTTGCGCCTTATCTCTCATAATAAAATTGCTCAGCGAAACGTCCTTGACTTTAACCGTATATTTTTATTATACGTGTCCAAATAATATCATCAAGATCCGAAGTTTATTGTACCAGTTGTATCTTAATCAAAGTTTGGAACCTGGACTAAAAATAACTATTTCCTGTTCTTAAATTCCAGGTTTGGGGTTTCCGGTTTCCAAACTCTGTTAAGACTATGATCTAAATATATTTTTAAAATGCCTCAATACCATAACTTTATAAAATTATGAAACATATACAAAATCTTCCATTTAAAATTTTTTTAAAGTTTTGAAAATTTGGTTTATAATTCCTACCAAATTACTTTCATACTTCCCATTTCTTATTATAATTTGAAAAATGTAAATTAATTACTCCTTTTTTCGTAAAAATTTCACAACTTTATAAACTTAGTTAAAATTTATTAAATTTATATAATCTTTCTAACTTTAAAAAAACTTTCTTAAAATCGAAAAAAATTATCTAAGTCACTATTTTATTATTGCATTAAAAATAGCTTATTTTTTGTGTAAGTTACTAAAGTTTGTTAATTATATTTTTGATATTTATGTCACTGCCTAAAGTAATCAATAAATAACCCTCTGTAATGTATCACAAAACATTTTAATAAAAAAAATATATATAACTGAAAACTTGCACTTTTGTTAGAACTGGTTCTTGAAAATTTTTGAATGAGTTCTGGTCCTAGATTTGTTCACGGTTCCAAGTTCTAGTTCCTGAAAAATGAATCAAATTTTGAATGCAGATATTTAAAAAAAATTTGAAACATTATTATTTCAGATTTTTAAAAAATGTCCATTATTAATTAATGTGAAACAATTCACATTGAAATTAAAACTTATTATAAAATCAATATTAATCAATCATAGCTCAGTACGATTAACAAAAATTAAAAGTTTTAATTTTTTTAGATCAAAGATTTCCCCCAAACTTTAAAAAAAAATTGTAACTCTTTGTTAGATCCGTTTCTGGACATAAAATAATATATTTTTTCCTTATTAGATACCAAACGTTCAAATCGTCAGGCTACATAATCTCCTACTTGAGTTAAACCGAGTTATGGCGGAGATTAAAATTAGCGAGCACAATGCTTACCTGACGAATAAAGCGATCGATGATAATTTGTCGCCTAACGTTCCTTCGCATACTTTTGCGTTTGCTCTCGACGATAAATTCATTTCCGGTATCTTTCAAAAATTGGGACCTTATTATAAAAGTAATGACTGAGTGAGAGGTTTTTTAATATTTCCCAAAAATTTTTCGGACCGGGCCTTAATCAATATATTAAATTAGTATAAATTTAGAAATATCATATGATGTGAGAAGTTTTAATATTTATTTACTGCTCATATTTTTTCTATTTCTCTTTTGAAACAATTCGCATTTGAAATAAACAAAATTTTCAAATGCTTAAAAATTAGCATTTTTTTTTAAATAAAAATTGCAGACGAGTTAAAGCGTTTCTACAAAGAATACACTCCTAATTGGGCCTTTTCAGATACCAACAACGATTCCTACAGTTTTCTATCGCTTCCCATCTCGAACTCCCTAGCCACGCGAAGGGATTCCTCTTCTATTTCTAAGAGAAAATATTTTGCAAACGGTAAAGTCCATACAAAATATTATTTTTTTTTTTAAAAAAAAAAGGAAAAATTTGATATTAATTATTGATATGGGCAAACGTACATGAACGAAGGTTTTAATCATTGCGGGTTATATTAATTTGGCTTTTGTTTTGTTAAATTTAGATATTGATAAATTCAAATTGTGGAAATTTTTATATAATGTGTCAAAAATTAAAATAAATCTAGTAAAAAAAATTTTTTTTAAAAAAGATTAAATTTTGGAATAATCTAAGAATAAATATAATATTCAAAATTATTGTTTTTAATCACTGATTTTTTTTAAAAATCAAGATGATTTAAAAAGCGATTTTATTCAAATTAATTTATATTAGCCAAACCCTAAAAAAATTTAAAGCTTTTGATTAGTGATGTTAAAGCTCGATTTAAGCCGATTTTAAAAAACGGCTAGCTCAATATTTTAGCCAGAAAAATGTTGTCTAAGCCTCAACTTTAATAGATGTTCATACCTTTGTGCCACCTATGAGCAAAATCTTAAGGCTTGCATAATATTCCTAATAAAATATTGAGTTGGCCGTTTTTATCGGCTCAAAATGAGCCGTTTAACAACACTACTTTTGATAATAAATATATCGCACTCATAAGAAAACATTAAACTTTTTATTAAAATTTGCTAAAACAATAAATATACCATTTGCAACGAGTTTACCAATCAAAAAACTGTTATCACTAAGTTTATTTATTATTAACAATGTCTGCAATTTTGGAAATCAAACAAATAGTAATAGTATAAAGAGCCTTGATAATTCTCTTCATAAAAATAATTTAAAAATTTGAATGCTTTTATAAACTATTACTTACATAGATAATTATAATATTTAAAATATTTTATATATCAAAGAAATTTTCTCAATTATTGACCAACAATGTGAAGAATATGTAGATGCTAACGATTCTGATCATTTTAACGAAAGACGATGCATGTCTTGCGCATGCGTCACAACAATTCCTTTTGAAATTTTGGCGAGAAAAGTCGCGCAAGAAAAATCACTTTCAAATATAGACCGAAATCATGACAAAAATGAAAAGATCGATAATGAAGATGAAGAATTCGATTGTTATAGTGCAAAAGGAAGTCTAAAACAAGGAAAGGAAGGGAGCTCAAATTGGGATGGAATAAATTACTTTGGAATGAAGAATTGTTTTTGCAATAATCCTTGGATAGGAATATAAAAAAAACTATTAATTTTTCGAAATATTATTTGAATAATTGGCTTTTTTGGTCAATATATTTTGAATATAGTTACTTGATCGAGATATCATATTAGATTGTGATTTGTAAAAATTTGAAATATACAGATTCTTTAATTAAATTATATTTTGGTCAAATGATTTGTTGAACCTAGATTCAATGTGATAAATGTATAATTATGGTTGATAGTATTCATCAATAAATATTGTATATAATATATTTTTAGAGGAATTAATTAAATTCTATATCTCCTTATTTTCTAATTCTGTGATAATTTAAGCGAAGTCTTGAGATTACACTTAAAATCAAAGCATTCATAAATTTAGAGATGAGAGTTATATACGAATAATCTTAAATTCAAAATCTTTTTATAAAAGCGCTATGATGTAATTTGCTTCATACACTTCTACAATGGGGAAGCGCAAAGTCGTTAAAATATGAGGGGGGGGGGGGGGGGTAGTCTCTATTTGGATTTCTTTTTTTTAAATTTTTATTTTTTCAGCTAATCTACTAAGCGCCTTAAAACACGTGGAAATCAATTCCCAAGCTATCGGCCTGGTACTCAACATAAATAAAACAGAATTATGTTTCTTAAACAATAAGCCACAAAAGTTGGAAGGCTACAAAATCATTCCTCCTGATAGCTTAACCTTACTTAGGTCCCCATTAGCTAATGCGACCAAGTCAGAAGATTTCCTCCATAAGATTTTTAAAAGCTTCTACAGCATGGAGCACATACTAAGTCTCCTACCAGCACATCAATCTTTATTTTTAATACGCAAATGCCTGTACATACCCAAAAATTTTGCACATTTTCCGATCATCATCTTTTTTCAAAAACAACGAATTCATATCTATAATTCAGGATAAATTTAAAATATTTCTAGAAAAAATTTTAAACTCATTTAATTGGTCCCTTGCTCAGCTACCTTCTAAACTAGACGGTTTAGATTTTTTTTCCACTCAATCTTTTATATCAACATTCGTATCATCTAGATTATCTAACAATTCTATGATTTCTGGCTTCATATGTCCTACCGATCGTTTATTAGACGACGCTATTGACAAATTGAAGGCAAACACACCCATTAACACCGTATTACCATCAATCATCACACAAAAAATTTTTCACACCTATCTCGAAATACCAAACAGATATATCAGTCAATCCACCTTTAGATTGCATTCAACTCCTTCAATTATCTGACAGACTTGGTGGTCATGAATGGTTAGAATCACTCCCAAGTAGTAACCTTGGTAATCTCTTATCAGATGAACAATCGAGAGTAACCATTGGTATACGTCTAGGTGCGATATAGTACAGCCTCATGCCTGCATCAAATGCAAATCACCCGTTGATTCAAAGGGTAGACATGGCTTAAATTGAATTTTTAGTCAAGGGCGACATCAACGCCACTCAGCTGTAACCCATATAATAAAAAGCCTAACAGCTGCACACATTCCAAACAATCTTGAACCATCAAATTTATCTCAAGTAGATGGTTTAAAACCTGATGGTATGGCAACCATACCATGGGCCCTCGTTAAATCACTTATATGGGATTACACATGTGTCTCATCATTCCCTTCAAACATAAATTTCAATTTAATAACAGGCAGAAATTAAAAAGACAAACAAATACAAAAATTCTGAAAACTTCACTCCAGTAGCGACCTCTACTAACTGGAATTTTTCGCCTTCAACATTTATGTTTTTAAAAAATCTGGGTAATAAAATACGACTTTTTACAAATGACCTAGAATTCGACAAAAAATTCAAATAGAAATTTTTAGACACAATTATGGTTCCTTTTTGGGGACTCAATTATAGAATTTTATTTTTAATTATATAATTATAAATTATAATTTTTTTAATTAGGTTTTATGTAAAAAGAAATTTAATAAAATTAAGAAATTACAAAAAAAAAAAATTTTGATAACTAAATTTAGCTTACTTTTCTACTTTTTTGATAAGTTTAATAATAAATTATATTAGAATAAAATAATAGTTGAAAATATATAGAAATTTTTTTTTATTTTTAAAAAATACTTCTGTGTATTTATAAAGTATAAAATTAGTAATTATGTAAATTTCTTTTATAAATAGCATACAAAGTAGACGCTACTTTATAGTAAAAATTAGAGTCATACTCTAAAAAAATAGAAGTAGTGGTATTTGGCAACATTGGAATATTTTATAAATATAAAATTGTTTTACCTTTAATTTCAAAAAAGGCTTAACTGAGATACTTCCTAAAAATTTAACAATCCGATGTTAATAATAACCTTTTATATCAAAAAATACCCTCTTTTAACCTATTTAATGGTGAGAAAATAAAACGATTGTTAGCGTTGGAGTCAGGATTTTGGATAAGAAAACGATCCTAATTTATGGAGTTTAAAGGAACCACACCAGTTTAGATGAAACTAGGCAATTTTATTTATTCAATTTTAGCCTATATCGGGCCTTACTTAGTTTCAAGTATCTATGCAACGTACAGTAACTGCTTGATTTTGCCAGCGGGATACTTATAAGTAACTGATATTACTAAACGTCTTCAAAACTTAACTTTGTATTCCTCTTTTTAAACATAAAATTAAAGGTTATAATTTTTTTTTAAAATACTTTGAAAATGCCGTGATATCATGGTTAACTAAACTATATTTCAAATAAAAATCATTTAAAATAATTTTTTGTGTTAGTGTATGTTCAAAATCAATTATTAAAATTCGCAAAATTTTTGAAACTTTCAGAAGTTTTAATAAAATCATATGTTAAAATCTAGAATTGTATTTTGGACATGTGATTTGCTTTTACATTAGAAAAAGCTTGTATTTCTTTTTTTTCGATAAAGTATGCAATTTTATTTTTTGAAATTTTTGACTTGGTTTTAGGTAAGGTTAGAACTTCATTATTTAATAACGAAGTCCAAATTTCATATAAGTATAACTAACCATTTCTAATATCTTTCTCATAACACATTAACGGTTGATTTGATTCCGTCGGTATCAGGATTGAAGATCAATTAGGCACATTAGTTTCATAATAGGTACATCACCACCAACTTCACACTTTTAAATTATAACACTGCTATCGATATTCGGTATTTAGGAAAGTAATGATTAAATGCTTGCATTTATTCTTCCACAATTCTGGTTTTATTTATATTTTCCTCATAATTCAGTAATGGCTGATTTCGTCGGATCAACTGGATAAAATCTTCGTAAGTTTTAGAATTTGTGCATCGTGACCTGAATAATATTCCATATAACACATTAACAGTTATTTTCGTCTCTATCCTAGTTGGAAAGATCAATTAGGCACGAATGAGACTCTAGATATATGCATGACTTCCAGAATTTGATCCTCAATTAATACAGCCAGTCACTATGCATTTTATTTATTTGTAATGACGCTGTTAACAAATTTAAACCCTTTTTTAAAAAATAAAATCAGTGTCATAGAAATAACCAACTGGTGTTGTAAAAACTTTTGGAAAAATAACTAGTTATAATAATAGCATTTTCTCAGAAATAATTAATTTTTCCATTATCTTTCTTTAGAAAAATTAAAAAATGGCAAGTTTCATTTGGATAGTAAGGTGCATATATTTTGTTGTGCTAATAAATTATTTTGCAACAACTTTAAATGCATCTAATTTTTAAAATAAACTTGGGAAGTTCAAAAAGAATGTGGGCGCTAAATTTTTTTATCACTTTTATGCCAGTATAAATAATTAAATTTCACCGGATGAATTCTAGCATATTTATCGTATAGTATTTAACGTTATAATTGAAAGACTAAAGGTTGGTATGGCATGCAAAGAATAAGTTTAAAGCAGTAATGCTGGTTGCTAAACTTCTGGAAAATTCTTAGATGCGTGAGTATTTCATCATGTTGCATATATTAGCCGAACTGCACCCTCACAATGGCGCATTGACAATTAATAATTTTGTTTTGTTAGAGATCAGATCGCGGTCCGGTTTCTTCCTAGAAATTTTTGGAACTATCCGACCCGCCCGATTCATAAAGTAATTTTTATAGAGTCCCATATTTTTATGAAAGAAATTATATAAATTTGTTTAATTATAAGTTTTCGACATTTAACTTTAAAATATATTTCATCACTTTCAAGATCCTTTTATTTTAAACACTGCTCTCAGAAATTGAATATTTTTATTTTATGGGATGAACAGGCCATTAGATAAATTTTAACCCGGCTTGAAGATACCGGAATAAATATTAATATGTATTTCATATTCCTTATAGATAAATAATTAAAAAACTTATATCAGCTTCTTTGTTCACCAAATCCAATTTAGATTTCAGTAACTGGAAGAGAGGGGTAGAGCAGTCATAAGACGCAAACCAACAAAATTACTACAGTCCTATCGTGTTAAGTGAATAAAATATCATCAGGCACAGAAATCGTGAAAGCTTTCAAAATTATTCAAAAAAACTATTTGATATACCAGCTTTTTCGTAAAAAACGGTTAGCTTTCTGCCGGTAGAAAGAAAAAAAGAAAAAAAGAAAGAAAGTAAAAAAGGAAGGAAGGAAGGAAGGAAGGAAGGAAGGAAGGAAGGAAGGAAGGAAGGAAGGAAGGAAGGAAGGAAGGAAGGAAGGAAGGAAGGAAGGAAGGAAGGAAGGAAGGAAGGAAGGAAGGAAGGAAGGAAGGAAGGAAGGAAGGAAGGAAGGAAGGAAGGAAGGAAGGCATTTTAGAAGAATCAATATAAAATATTATTAACTTATTGTGACAAATAATCAAATATTTAAACCCGATGCGCATATTAGAGAGAAAAATATTTTTTATAAAATAGTTATATTTACTTATATCTGTAGTTAAATGATCATATTACATTATCGAACATTGTTGGGCCCATGCATCTCAGGCCGCTAAAAACATTTTGCCGGACTCCGAACTCCGCAATTTCGTCGCTGAATTTACAAGGGTGAATGACGAATAATTCGTATTCGATTTTTTTTAAACGAAAGGAATAATTGATCAATAGTAATTATACAAATCGAATATGAATGGTAATTTATTGAAATAGTAGATGATTCGATTCGTTCAAAAGAATCGAATACCAATAATTCATTATCACTCACTTTTCGTAAATTGAAAGAGTAGACGAAGCAAGGAAAACGCTGTTATGATTTCTTATAGACCAGCAGACCCTAAACATGTCTGCGCGGACGTAATCTTTCCCATGGAACCTGGACACACTAGACAGATGTATGTTGAGCTGCAACGGTCTTCAACAATAATAGAATAAAATAATGATGGCTTAAAATTAATTATGAGTAAAATTTGTAATTAAATGAGCTTTATTAAATTAAAATAGTATTTATGTATCTTATATATATTATTTTATGTAAAAAGGGTGTTTGTAAAATTTAAAAAAATATATATTATAAAAAATTACAAATTATAATGTAAAATGGCTATACTAGCGAATATATTTTTTTAGCAACATAAGCACATGTCTTATTTATTTATCGGTAAATTTATAATATTGTTATCGATTTTATTTTTCATTGTTTTTTTTTAATAAAATATAAATCGATTTTTTAGCTAGTAAAATTGTATTTAATTTTTACGATTACACCACTAATACTATTAAAATTTCCATTTTTCCTAAACAAATTTTATAGGAATTCGATTGAATTTTAAATTTATTTTCCAATATATTAATTATTACTAAAATATAATAAGAATGAAAATAAATATTTTTTGACTTTTTAAATTTTTCTAAAAAAAAAAAGAAAGAAAAAAGGAAGGAAAATCATAAAATAACCAGCTATGCATATATTTTTCATATGCCCTGTAATTTTTTATTCCTTGTTATCTTTATTATTCTCGCCGATAGAATGTCACAATAATCCATTTATAAATCACAATGTGAATCCACGCGGGAAAGATTCCGTTCACAGATCAAATGACAATTTAACTAATCCAAATCGCAGATATCTCTCAAGCAAGCGCTCTTCTCAGAATGTCAAATATGAAAGACAGTTACGAATTCTCCAATCGCTGTACTCAAAAGTCCCTTCGTTCACGGGTTTATTAATTAAAAAATGGAATAAAAATTATATTTTCTAATTAGTCATAACTTTTTTTAAGAAATATTGTTTTTTAAAAATATCAAAATAAATAACTATTTAACCCGTTACTGGTTAACGGTGCATATATGCACCACCTCCTATATACCTTATTTTAACATAGTAGTTTTTATTTTAAAAAATAATAAAAAATATTTTTATATAGTTCAGACATTGTACTTCAAAACTGGAAAAGAAAAATATGAAAAAATATTTTTTTATGTCCCTAAGAAACCCTCAAACTTTGCGAATTTATGAGGTCTAAAATGCAAAATTTTCTAAGTGATCTCACGAGCATATTATAAAATTATTTCGATGAAAACTAGTGTGTATATATTCTTTATAGATATATCAATATTTATCAATCATTTTTGAATTTTTAAATAATTAATATTTTAGTAGGTAAACACATAAAGTTGACTGGTGCATATATGCACCGTTAACCATCTAGCAGTATATATTATTTAAAAAAATTCAAACAAATGAAATTTAACATAATGAATTATAATTTTTTATATTATACTTAAAACCACTACCGTCACTAAGGGTGGGAAGGGGAGGGGTGGGTGGCTCGAGCCCCTTAAGAATTTTTAAAAAAAATTTTATACCCAAAAAAGACCTTTTGAAAATAATTTAAAAAAATTTTTTTCCCCTGAGATTAAATCGAATAATATATTGTTCCTATTATAATTTTTTATCCCGATCAAATTGTATGAAATTATTAGGTTCATAAATATTCAAAAGTTTAAAATTATTTTTAGCCTCTTCCTTTCTGAAGATTTTATTTTATTTATATAAAATATTATGCACCTGTTTTGTCAATTCAATCAAAATTATCAAAATAATAGATGACTAATAAAAAAATCAAGATTCTACGAAAATAATTTGTCTAGATATTTAATTTTTAATAAATTTTTTTAATGAAACGTTTTCTAACAATTGAACAAGCGCTTGCTCAACTTTTTGAAGAGGAACCAATTGAAGAAAGAGATATGGTTATAATTCCGCCAAACCCCTCTGCAGTTAGTGATGAAGAAGATTTCGATGAAAATGACTTAACAAATGTTGGAGTTTTGCCTTCAGATACAGCTGGAGAATTGGAGATTCATAATTCAGTTGATGACGACCTTCCAGAACCATATTCTACAAGAAGCTATTCTCGAATTTCTCACAATTTAAAATGGAGAAAAACGGATGCAATATATTCTTCAAGCCCTTTCAATGGAGAAAAGGAAGGTGTAATAAAACTTGAAAATGATTTACATGGTAAAAGTCCATCAGATATATTTTCTTTAATTTTCGACGAAGACTTATATTCCCTAATTGTAGAACAAAGTAATATTTATGCTAAACAAATGAATAGACCTAACATATGCATAACCATCCAAGATATTCAGAGATTTATTGGAATTCTATTATTTACTGGATATCATTCTCTCCCACAAGAAAGAATGTACTGGTCTAATGACAGCGATATTTCTATTCCAATAATCCGGGATACAATGACCCAATTACAATTTCGAAATTTGAAATATAATATCCACTTGGCAGACAATACTAAAATAGATATACATGATAGATTTTATAAATTTAGGCCTTACATTAATATATTGAATAATAAATTTCAGCAATTTGGAATTTTCAAACATCATTTATCAATAGATGAACAGATGATACCATATCGAGGAAGACATTCTTGCAAAATGTTCATAAAAGGAAAACCAATTAGATTTGGATACAAGTCTTGGATATTGGCTTCTTCCGACGGTTACGTATTCTCATTTGATATAAATCAAGGAAAAAGCGAAAATAAATATGAATATGGATTAGGTGGAAATGTAATCATAAAATTATTAAAGGCATTGCAAAAACCAAATTATCATAAAATATATTTTGATAATTTCTTTACATCATTTAAACTCTTGTCATACTTAAAACAAATGGGATATTTTGCAACTGGAACTGTCGAGGTGATTCTAATAGAATAGAGCATTGCCCAGTTGAATCTATCAAAGGTTGTAGCAAAAAATGCAAAGAGGATATTATGATTATAGGTTTGAAAAATTAACCGAAATATTTATAGTTCGTTGGAATAGATAATTCGGTGGTGACCGTTGCATCGACATGCACACACTATCTCATTATGCGTTTACTAATGTTTCAAGGTATTCTAAGAAAATACTCTAAGATCTAAAAATAACAAATATCCTCAGCCAAATATGGTAACTGCTTATAACAAACACATGGGTGGATGTTGATCTATTGTGATAATCCTTGAAATATCTTACATATAGAATAAAATATAAGATGTTTGACACAAATATCTTGAGTGCGTATGGCCAATATCTGCACCAATTTGTATTGATGTAGCATTTGGTAAATTCATGGATAAATCTGGAAATGTCGTAAATCGAGATGACAAGAAGAGTTTGCTTGCATTGTAGACGCAGAAGTTGACTAACGTGACCTGCACTTCGAACGCTAGTAAAAATTGAAAAACATTCGAAGTACAGGTCACGCCAGCCAATTTGCATTACAGTCTGAAAATGCTAGCAAACTCATCTGGTCATCTCGATTTATCCAAAATTCTAGATGGTCAAAGACGAAGATGCAGATATTACCATACGCTACATCAATGATATATGTGTCGAACATTGTCCAATCGCACTCCATATTAAGTGTCTTCTTAGGATTATTCTATATGTAGATATTAGATTATCACATAGATCAACTTCACTCATGTGTTTGTTATAAGCAGTTACCAAAAAAGAATAAAGATATTTGTTGTTTTTAGATCGTATAGTATTTCTATAGAATATCTTGATACATTTGTAACCTCTTAAAGAGTTAACGTGTGGCATATCGATGCACCAGGTCACCACCGAATTATCTATTTCAACGGACTAAATATTTTTCGGCTGATTTTTTCAGACCTATAATCATAATATCCTCGAGCATTAATCACTATAACCTTTGATAGATTCAATTGAGCAATGTTTTATCCTACTAGAAAACTCTCGACAGTTCCAGTTGCAAAATATCCCATTTGTTTTAAGTATGACAAGAGTTTAAATGATGTAAAGAAATTATCAAAATATATTTTATGATAATTTGGTTTTTGCAATGCCTTTAATAATTTTATGATTACATTTCCACCTAATCCATATTCATATTTATTTTCGCTTTTTCCTTGATTTATATCAAATGAGAATACGTAACCGTCGGAAGAAGCCAATATCCAAGACTTGTATCCAAATCTAATTGGTTTTCCTTTTATGAACATTTTGCAAGAATGTCTTCCTCGATATGGTATCATCTGTTCATCTATTGATAAATGATGTTTGAAAATTCCAAATTGCTGAAATTTATTATTCAATATATTAATGTAAGGCCTAAATTTATAAAATCTATCATGTATATCTATTTTAGTATTGTCTGCCAAATGGATATTATATTTCAAATTTCGAAATTGTAATTGGGTCATTGTATCCCGGATTATTGGAATAGAAATATCGCTGTCATTAGACCAGTACATTCTTTCTTGTGGGAGAGAATGATATCCAGTAAATAATAGAATTCCAATAAATCTCTGAATATCTTGGATGGTTATGCATATGTTAGGTCTATTCATTTGTTTAGCATAAATATTACTTTGTTCTACAATTAGGGAATATAAGTCTTCGTCGAAAATTAAAGAAAATATATCTGATGGACTTTTACCATGTAAATCATTTTCAAGTTTTATTACACCTTCCTTTTCTCCATTGAAAGGGCTTGAAGAATATATTGCATCCGTTTTTCTCCATTTTAAATTGTGAGAAATTCGAGAATAGCTTCTTGTAGAATATGGTTCTGGAAGGTCGTCATCAACTGAATTATGAATCTCCAATTCTCCAGCTGTATCTGAAGGCAAAACTCCAACATTTGTTAAGTCATTTTCATCGAAATCTTCTTCATCACTAACTGCAGAGGGGTTTGGCGGAATTATAACCATATCTCTTTCTTCAATTGGTTCCTCTTCAAAAAGTTGAGCAAGCGCTTGTTCAATTGTTAGAAAACGTTTCATTAAAAAAATTTATTAAAAATTAAATATCTAGACAAATTATTTTCGTAGAATCTTGATTTTTTTATTAGTCATCTATTATTTTGATAATTTTGATTGAATTGACAAAACAGGTGCATAATATTTTATATAAATAAAATAAAATCTTCAGAAAGGAAGAGGCTAAAAATAATTTTAAACTTTTGAATATTTATGAACCTAATAATTTCATATAATTTGATCGGGATAAAAAATTATAATAGGAACAATATATTATTCGATTTAATCTCAGGGGGCTAAAAAAATTTTTTAAATTATTTTCAAAAGGTCTTTTTTGGGTATAAAATTTTTTTAAAAAAATTCTTAGGGGGCTCGAGCCACCCACCCCTCCTCCCACCACCCTTAGTGGCGGTAGTGGTTTTAAGTATAATATAAAAAATTATAATTCATTATGTTAAATTTCATTTGTTTGAATTTTTTTAAATAATTTATACTGCTAGATGGTTAACGGTGCATATATGCACCAGTCAACTTTATGTGGTTATCTATTAAAATTTTAATTATTTAAAAATTCAAAAATGATTGATAAATATTGATATATCTATAAAGAATATATACACACTAGTTTTCATCGAAATAATTTTATAATATGCTTGTGAGATCACTTAGAAAATTTTGCATTTTAGACCTCATAAATTCGCAAAGTTTGAGGGTTTCTTAGGGACATAAAAAAATATTTTTTCATATTTTTCTTTTCCAGTTTTGAAGTACAATGTCTGAACTATATAAAAATCTTTTTTATTATTTTTTAAAATAAAAACTACTATGTTAAAATAAGGTATATAGGAGGTGGTGCATATATGCACCGTTAACCAGTAACGGGTAATACACAATTTTAAATTAATTTGAATTATAAAAAAATTATAGGTATAAACCGTCATATAAAAAACTATAAAATAAATGTGAATTAAAAAATATTAAACAGATATAACTGGCGGTATAGAAAAACTATAATAAATGTGAATTATAAAATATAAAGTGAATATAACCATATGTTATATATTTACAATGTAAAATAAAATCCAATCTTCGTTGGGATTTAATTTTTCAATTATCTCATCCTTGCTTGTCGTCAAATGCCCATGATTATTCAAAAGATCCAAACCTTTCAATCTAATTTCAGAAGTTATACTTCTTGGTATGTTTTTCTAATTTTTAAAATATACCCGGACCGGGCCCGAAATTTTTTTTAAAAAAAACACCCGGGCGGGGCCTGAAAATTATTTTAAAAAATATCCGGGCCGGGTTTTATATTTTAAAACAGCCTATATTTGAAATCGTTATTATTCGCTATATATATCAAAAAGAAATATAATTTATTTTTAAAAAATCCGGGCCGGACCTGAAAAATTAATTTTAAAAAAAGCCGGGGCGGGCCTGATATTTTTTTTAAAAAAACCCGAACCGGGCAAAATATTTTTAAAAAAATCCGGGCCGTGCCCTACAAATGGTACCTCTGCAGGCTTATTCTTCTTCAAAAAAAGAATGTTCACTCATTAGTTTACTAATGGGAAGAGTTGCTAATATATATAAATCCTTTTAATACATTGGGAATATAATTTAAATGTGTTTGAAATGCAAAGCTACCATAGCATTTTTTGGGATTATATATCAACCATAGTTAATTTTATAAACATAGTTATTCAGCTAATAAGGCATCATAAGATACTTTAATATCTTCATGAAAAATCTAACGAATGTCGGTAAGGCTTGAAGTAATATCTGCAGATTGGTAAGTGCTGCATGATGAATTAAAAACCATTCATTTATTTGGTTTATAAATGTATCAAAGAGAGGGGACATTTGTTTTATAATACTCTTCTACTGATTCTATATTAATGTTTTAACGATGAGCTTGACTTGCTGCAAGTCGAAGGAGACAAATAAACACGTATAGCTCTGCTTTTTGACTCAACAATAACATATAAAATACAAAATTTTTCATCAACATTAGCCCTAATTTCCTTGAGTTCTAATAAAATGCTCTCCGCTATTCTCATCTTCTTAATCAAGCCAATGTCATGTTTTTGAAAAGTATTACATATAGTTGTATAACTAAATAATGAGAAAAAAAAATTGAAATAAGCATTGAATCCAATAATTTTCTTGCTCCTGAAGAAATATTTCTTACAGGCTATTGTGATATTTCAGTAATAGCAAATAATCGGCTCTTTTAACTCCTTAAAAGCTGTTACTGCTTGATGGCGAAGACTCTATCTCGTTGGACAAGTTTGCAATTTTTTCTCCCTGTTGGACAAGGAGTTTCAGAAATAATTATTATTTGACTAGAAATGAAAATGGTAGATAAATAGTACACCACTAAAAATTTGATAATAATAAGTAAATATCACGCCGGAAAACGTGAAATCGATATTAATTGATAAAATAATTTAGAAGATGAATGAGATAAATAAATGTAATTAAATATTAATATGAGATAGGAATAAATGTTAACAAATATAATTAATATAAACAATAATATTTTTGAAAAATATATCCGGCATCTGAATTTTTTGGCTTTAGGGGGAAAGGGGGGGGGGGTTGTCCCCCACCCCCCTATACATAACACGGAGAGGATAATGAATTTTCTTCCTTGAACATCTCAGTTAGGTAGGGTGTTGCTTGATTGTTATAAGAATTCACAATCGCTTTAAGAAATATGTTTTTTAAATTAAAATTTATTTTTAAGCATATCTTAGTCCTCCATAAACGTATAGCTTTATGTTTTTATCCATTTTACCCCCTATATGATACTTAGATTAACAAGGTCATTGATTAAAACGCAATTTTAGAGCGTAAGATTAATAGTCAAAATCAATTTCGCAAGCCTCGAAATTTCGTGAAGATATACACCATCTATAAACAATAATTACTCAGGCTTAAGTAATTATTATTTATTTGGCTTAAATATTGGCTTAGCCGTTATTATCTCAATCGATCCGTTTAGACAATGCTTATCACCTACCGCCAGCTTCTTTTCAATCCAAAATACTATAAATAATAATTAGAATAATAAATACTAACATTTTAATATTCCTTAGTTGTTAAATAAGATACGACGTCAAAAGATAATATGTCATTGCCATATTGACGTGTACTGAATGAATCATCAGTCTAAGAAATATAAAGTGTTAATAAATGGATCAAACATAATAAAAAACGAGGCACTCAAGCCTAAATCTCGATTTTTTTCGATTTAAATTCGTCATTGTTAGCGTCAAGAGCAAAATCGATCAAAAAGAGTGACTTCTACTATTTAGTTATCATCAGCGTCTCTAAATTACAGAAAATTGGCTGGAAACAAACTCACTCCCTCACTCCAAAACATACAACCCCCCCCCACCCCCGCCTAGAAAAAATTTAACGGTCTTCCTCGGTGATATACATTTATCGATATATAAAAGTTCTTATAATATTATTCAAATTAATATTTAATCATCTCTCCACCAAACAAAATCAAGATTAAAATGATTTTAGGCAACATAATTGTTTAGGATGATAGGAATAACAAATAAACATTGGTTGGTGATAAGTATTGTCAAACGGCTCAATTTTTTCGATTTTAAATTAAGATATTAGCCAAATAATATTACGCAAGCCTCGAGATTTGGTTAGTAGATGTCCAAACCTTTCATGCCATCTTTGAGCAAAATTTCCAGACTTGCGTAATATTTTTTTGGCTAAAATATTGGGCTATCCATTTTTCTTAATTAGCCTTTTAACAACACTCTAGTTGGTGCTACTAGTTGTTACTAAGCCTGATTTAGTCCCAAGCAAGCATTTTTTGCTTTTTTAGTCATTCTCATTTTTTTTAAAGTTATGTCCAAAATATCAGAAAAATAAATTCTCAAACTTTCGAAACTTTAATGGAAATAAATAAGTATGTTATTTTATTATTAAAATAAAAATAAAATTTTATAAATTTCCAAAATTAACATAGGATTTCTTCAAAATTTTAAATATGCAAAAGTTTTGAAACTTTTCGAATTTTTTAAACAGATTTTGGACATAGCCTTAAATTTGAAACACTTAATTATTTTAAATTTATAAAAACAATTATGAAATAATATAAAAATTGCAAATTATTTCATCAAATCTTGATTTTTAGCATTGTTGATAGATAGCCTTTAATTTTATTTGAAATTTGTTTTCATTAATTTTAAAAAATATATTGTATTTGTTTGATACAAATCAAACCATGCTCTTGTGTTCTAGATTTTATATGATTTTAGAGATAAAATTTATAGATGCAGATGATACTTTCCTTGCTGATGGTCAGGGGAGTAGCCTTCAGGGCAGATATCTTCATGGGCTGAGCCGGCCCGCACCCACAGTATTATATTTTCTAGGTCTGGTCCAGCCATGGGTTTTGGAAATTTTTTAATGAGCTTGGGCCTAAATATTTTTATTTAAATTTAGATTATTTAAAAAAGTTGCTAACTTAAAAAAATATTGCAAATTTTTTTCTTCCAATAATAAACTTAAGTATATTGTAAACAAAATGATTGACTAAATACACTTAAATATTGTTCATATTTTCATTAAAATGCAATTAAATTTTTGGATATGGGCTTGGACCGGGCTTAGGATTTTTATAATATTAATGGGCCAACTTGGGCCTAAAATATTTTCACTACAGCTGTGCCGGGCTTAATCAAAAAATTAAGGCCCATAAAGATCTCTGCTTCAAAGAGGTTTACAGAGCCCTGATTATTCAACTTACACTGAAGGCACGCTGATGACTAAAATATAAAATGGAGACTGACTTTTGGAAAGGTATGCCCTCGTGAGTGACACCCCCCCCCCTCCGTCTCTACCTACCGATGAGAATAAATGGAATTTGGAAAACTTTAATGGTCACTTTATAAAGGTTGATAAGTTTTTTATGAGAATCCTTAAATATTCTGCAATAACGGAACATTTTCTTGAACCTCCGAAATGTATTTTAGATAATTTATAAAATT